ATTACTGAAAAAACAATCAACTACAAAATCTTACTCAAATTCATTCGTACGTAAATAAATAAGAAAACTATATATTAAATCATATTATCAAAAAAAATCTTTTAAACCAAAAAAAGAAAAAAAATCTACGCCAAGTGTTTGACTTAAACTTCAAGAAGAACAAGATCAAGAGTAGAAAAGAAACAGTTTATCATATGAAACTCTGACAAGGACACATAATTTTAAGCTTAAGAAAACTTAGCCGTAGCCAGCCTTGCATGAGAAATTCTATCAATTGCGGAACGGTTTCAATAAATGGGGAGAGAGAGACAGAGAAAGATTACATGAAGGTTTCAGTAACTAATAAACAAGAAAAGCTGAACGAGGCCAGAGACTAGGTGTTTGAGTTTCCACATAACCCCTTCTCTCTTGTTTACTAGACATGATCATTTGACTCAAACCTCACAGAAACGGATTTTCCTTTCCGGGCAAAGACGAACTAAAAACTAGAATCAAACCTAATGTCAATCCAGAGCCAAATGGCATCGAATAATGAAATTTGTTGTTACTATCAACCGGTGTTTTGCATAGATTTCATGCAAAATCTCTCTCTCTCTCTATCCCCCAAAATTATCATTGAAGAAAAAGATCAAGAAATAACAGTAGCACGAAGCAAATGGAGGCGAATAATTTGAAAGGGATGAAACCTGGTCCGATACATTCACTTATCATTATGAGCTCTAATAAATGAATCGAGCCAGCTAACATTCCCCTCAAACCCTCCAACCTTACTGCTTCTAAGATCATAATCCACAAAGAGATCGTATTTCCACTCTCTAATGCCCTCGTCCACAAGCTTTTTTGTAGGGAGTAGAGGGAGGAGAGCTCATAGATGGCCATTGCCTACTTCAAAACCCTGGGCCGGACTTACTGATTTATAGTTCGATGTAAGAGGTTGTTACGCCCTCATTTGATGATATCCCAAACAAGAAGTTCTGTTTTGGGTCACGCATCTTGTAGTGCGTGTTCCACAACCTCTTTTGAAAAGAAAAGGATAGAAAGGGAAGAAAAAGAAATATGAAAAAAAATAAGATAAAATGTTTACCAATGAAAATCGATTCATAAATGATACATCTTTGTTCCTCCTCCCTTTTTTAAATTAAAAAAAATGAATTAGACTTATCTCATATTCCCTCCTTGAATGTAATAAAGTGTCCATGGGTGACAAAACAATCATATACATTATTCGATTATATATGAGTTGCAACAATTTGAAATGTACATCAAATATATTTATCAAAAATAGTGATGACTAGTTACACTAAATAAATAAATAAATATTGGAAAAAGTCTAGAGAAGAAGTCACAAACAATTTTTGTAACTGCATTTGGGTGTTGGGCATCTAAAAAGTATTCTAATCAAAGAGTCCATAATCGATATTTTTAATAACGTATTCCTATTTTTTTTTTCTTGTGATCTTTAATCATCTACATGAATTTAAAGTTAGGAGATATCAATCCATTCCCAACTTCTAAATTTGTTCGATTAGATTCTTTGTAGAGTTATTAATTGTGGGCAAAACTTGGAGATTTTCTCATGCTCCACCATAGTTGTGATACATTGCACAACATCACAGCATCTAGTCAACACAACTATGTGATATGATAAGTTTTTTATGATTTTGAGTACTTAATATAACTAAAAATATGACACTGTTGCTATACATATACGTTAAATATGGACATATCGCACTTAGTTTTGTCAAACCTTCCCATGAAACGCCTAAGATTGACTCAATTTTAAAGTATACCACAGAGGTTCTAGAATAGTTACATGCTTTCCCTAAGAAAATGAAGCGTAAATGTACTATATGTACACATACAACCTTTTTTTTCCTTTTGGAAATGAATAATGGTGTATTCTCTCTAATTCTGTAGTTGCATTGTGCCATGATCTCGTAAGTTCTAAATGAATAAATTGCTTCTTAGTGCAATATCTTCATGAGCAAATCCACAATCAAATATATATAATTTGAAGACATCAATATTTTCGATAGTTGTACTCTCTCTCTCTCTCTCGCCCTCTCTTACTTGCACTTATTCATGTGCACGTTAGATTGTGTTATCACTGAATTTTAACTAGATAAATTCCTTTTGTTGGTGTATTAATGTTTCCTACATATAGAGATATGTTTGACATAAGTGGACTTTACTTAAATTTCATTATCCGTAGGATCAATAGAAACAACAAATCCCTTAAACTAGAAAATCTGAAATAATGACCTATTTGTCAACTTCACATAAATTTTCTTGAAATTACAAACTCTGCAATGATGACTAGTGATCAACTAGACAATAGATAAAGTGGCCAAAAACAAAAACAAAAGGTAAAGGTGTTGTTTCTCGATGAAATTTTTGACCTATGATCAAGTGTAAATGGTAAAATGATAGTCAGGTACTTGTCGATACACGCATATAAGTTGAAAATAAACGAGAAAGGGAAAAGGTGTCTGAAGCAAAAAGAGAGTATCATTGTTTTTTTTTTTTTCTGTTTTTTTGGAAAGTAAAGTTCTATCAATTGTAAAAAAGACAATGTACATAAGGAATCTGATGGAAGAAAAAACAAAACATCTTGACTCTATGGCATAGAATTCAGAGGGAAGTTAAAGCCTTGAGCTAAAACTTCCCACTAAATCCCTGCCATCGGAGTCAATACACAAAAAAGGATAATGCAAAACAACTGCCTAGCCAAGACAGCCTGATGGGAGCCTCCATTTGTGCAGCAGTTGAAGGTTGGAAGCTGATGGGTCAAACCCAAGAGCCCAACTCATGTTATAAATTCAGTCTGAATAAAAAATCTCATTAGATAAGGTCCAATGGGTCCAGCCTAAAAGTGGTCCACGCCCAGTCAAACTCATCAGGGTTCGAGGGACTACATCACCAAGGGAGTAGGTAGGGTCATCCCAAAGGCCTCATCTAAGCTACTTTGGAGTAAGGGTCATCCAAGAGTCTCATACACGCCGTCTTGGAAGAAGTCAACCGCCATGTCATTTTTTGATCGGATTTTATGGGGAGTGCCGTAACTGTCCCATCCGTTGAGAAGATGGTGTCAGCTCCACCAATTTAGTATTTTAGTTACTGATAAGCCGCCTCAATCTATTAGGAGGTGACTATAAATTGTAAATTCTACCAATATTTTGGGAGCATCTCACACAATCAAGCATATCCGCTATCACTTTCATCTCTTTCTCATTACTTGTATCTCTCTGCTCTCCTTACACTCTTCAAAATAATAAAATACCCAGGCCGCCCTAGCCCTTCATAGTGGACTTAGGTCACATTGACCGAACCACTCTACATCTTTGTCTTTCTTGAGCTACTCTCTCCACTTAATTACTGCATTAATTGCTATTCACTTGACAGGTAGTGCATAAAACTAATTTGTGCATCATCAATTTGGCGTCGTCTGTGAGAATTGACAAAATTCTCGCTTGATCACTTTTCTTGCTATACCTATGGCGATCACCACCAGATCCATGAATCAACCCAAAGATAATCCACCACGAGAGAAGGAGGTTACCCCTCCACCAACCAATCTTATTCCGAATGCACAGCAGATACTGAAAACAATGCAGCAGCTCGTGATTCAGAATCAACAGATCTAGCAACTAATACTCACTGGACAAGAAGGAGGAGCACAGTCTAAAGACCTCAAGCCAAAGGGGCTCCACGCCTTGGTGTCAAAGAGCACCCCATTTGGGCGCCCCATACAAGGGAGTCTCGCACCAAAACCATGAGGGACCTCCACCTCCTCCTCAAGCTCCCTCTTCTCATGGTGGAGGCCCTCATTTTCAAGAGAATGAGGGTGAAAACCAAAGCATGGAACATGAGAGCCAATTTCATGACAATTTCAAATTTAAAGGAGCCCCCAGTCACTGGATGAAAAAATCAAAAAGGTGTAGAATTAACTGGGCGACGTCTTCAACGCCATGAAGGCACAAGGACCAGAAATTGTGGAGTACTTCGTAAGGCGAACTGACACACCTTTTGTTCCAGATGTGGCAAACTACCCTTTTCCCCAAAAGTTTAAAATGTCATCCGTCAAAACCTTTGACGGCACAAAAGACCCACTTGATCACCTTGAAACTTACAAGTTGTTGATGCAGTTGCACAATGTTCCTGACGAAATTATGTGTAAGGCTTTCTCAACTACCTTGAAAGGATCTGCCTGACAGTGGTTTGCCAAACTCATCCCAACCTCTATAGGCTCCTTTTTCGAACCAAGTAGATCATTTGTGGCACAGTTCATTTGCGAACCCCACCAGCAGAAGCCTGCCACCCATCTGCTCAGCGTAAAATAAGACCGAGATGAGAGTCTGAGGAGTTACCTCACTCTTTTTGACGAGGAGGTCCTCCAAATCAAGTAACGTCAAAAGCTTGGCCTATCTCTACTCTACTCTCAAGCAGGTAGTCTATACATTTAGCATGTCGACTCTCTCACGAGTCGCTAAAAGCTTGGCCTCAAAAAATGTAACTCTCTCACAAGAAACCCTCAAATTATGTCTTTGTTCTTATGCAAGCAGTCTCACAGTCAGCCTACCTCCAGCTTGTCAACTCTCTCACGATCGCTAGAAACTCGATCTTAAGAGTAACAGCTCTCTCACGAGCAACCTCAAACTCTGTATTTACTCTCACGCAAGCAACCTTTATTTCTCTACAGGACGATGTGTCTACCCCTCTCTCCAGTTAATCATGTTAGATATTTTGATATTCGAGTGACATTATTTTTTTCCATCTCTAAGCACACTCTTGAAACTCAAGCCGTCTACAACTTGAGGGACTACATTAGATTAATGTCAACAATCAGGCATCATCCTTTTTGCGGCCATTCGGAACCGCCGCCTCGTTGTCACAGCTCTCTCGCACTTAACACTTAGCACAAACAAGGCATGCATGTTCCCAACACTAAGGATTTGGCACCTGCTCCTGGCACTAGCCTCATAGCGCCCCCTCTTAGTGCCTTACCTCTTGGCACCCAGTTCCTGGCGCGCCCCCTCGTGGCACCTAACTCTCGACGTCCCTACCTCCTGCACCTGCACAGCCCTATGCCTAGCATCCATCGTTGTTGTTCTTGGCTCGCCCAACATCGAAGATCTCGCCAGTACCGCCCATTCACCAGCGAACTCACCAGGCCATGCCTAGCGCCAGATGATGCCACTGTGTGCTCCCTTAGCCAAGCCTAGCCCACGGCGATGCCCTCTCCATGATCAGCACACCCACCAGTCGATGCCCGCAACATCTCACCTTCAACGTCCTAGATCGCCTCACCTAGCGGCGCCCATGGCACCTCGCCCTTAGTTGTGCCCATGTTGCCTCGCCCATGGCGTCTTTGCCCATTCTCGAGGCCTAGCTGTGCCTTTAACGCCTCACCACCGGAGCCCACTTGTACCCCCTTGTCGCCCTCGACACCCATGGAGCACCTAGGCTCGCCAACACTCGCTGCCTCGCCAACACCAACCTGCACGCCAACTTCGACGTCAATTGCTCCATCGGTGCCTACCTCCTCTCCAATGACAATGACTTCTTGTATCTCCCCTCCTTCATCTAACAGCGGTCTCCAGTCACCTAGCTCATAGGTAACCTCCCTGGCCACACTCAACTTACTACCACTCATGGTCATTACCCATATCAAAAAAGAAAATGGGTCATCAGTCAAAAGGAGTCTCTGTTAGCTAGAATTCAAATTCAACCAAATGCCCTCTTCTCCAAATTTCATTGGACATAGGGCATTGGGGAAAAATAATGGGTCAGGCCCAAGTCATGTTATTAGTCTAGTCTGAATAAAGAATCTAGCTAGATAAGATCCAATGGGTCCAACCCAAAAGAGGTTCATGCCCAGTTAAGCTCATCAAGGTTCAAGGGGCTCCATCACTAAGGGAGTAGGTAGGGTCATCCCAAGAGCCTCATCCAAGCCACCTTGGAATGAGGTTCATCTCAAGAGCCTCATCTAAGCCACCTTGGAGTAAGCATCATCCCAAGAGACTCATTCAAGCCACCTTGAAGTAAAGGTCATCCAAGAGTCTCATCCACGCCACCTTGGAAGAAGTCAACCACCACGTCATCTTTTGACTGAATCTTATAGAGAGCACCGTAATTGCCTCATCCATTAAGAAGATGGCGTCAGTTCCACCAAATTAGTCTTTTAGTTACTAATAAGTTACCTCAATCTGTTAGGAGACGACTATAAATTGTAAGTCCTGTCAATATTTGGGTGGCATCTCACACAATCAAGCACATCTGTTATCACTCTCATCTCTCTCTCATTACTTGTATCTCTCTATTCTCCTCATACTCCTCAAAGTAATAAAATACTCAGACCACCCTAACCCTTCATAATGGATGTAGGTCACGTTGACCGAACCACTCTACATCTTTGTCTTTCTTGAGTTACTCTCTCTACTTTATTACAGCATTAATTGCTATTCACTTGACAGGTGGTGCATAAAACTAATTTGTACATCATCAAAAGCAAAGCGTGGGAACTTGAGGGAGATCAATATGTTCCTGATGATTTGTTGAATCATGTTGAACACGGTGATAGGGTTCCTATATTGATTTGTAAATCTTATTTTATTCCTTTCATTCCAAAGATTATGGACTGTGGAGGCAAGACAAAGTTTGTAAATCGCATTCTTCATCTCCTTGCCCTTCCAGCTGATAGCAGCCCAACCAATAAACTCCATCCAGGGTTTAGGTTGCCACAACTAGCCCGTGAATGACAAAACAGAGCTCTAGACACTACTTGAGTAAGAGCATTCAAAAAACAAATTGGAGTGAGATTCCATTCCAGCATGACAAAGAACATTTCCAATTCCCAAATGAGCTACAAAGGTTTGCATTCTGTTTAGAGTGCTCAATCTTGATTTTATAGCTAGCCACAGAGTAAAAGCCATTATAGGACTGTTTTTTCCCAAACAGACCAGTTTTTTCCAAGCAACGTGAGGGCTTTTAATCCTCATATGATCCAAGTAGATGAAGTGATGAAAATCTGATTGGCTATGATATTCCACTTGACAACAGCTTCAATGGATTGGTTAGGGGAATAGCAAGACATAGAATTAAAAATGGATTAAGGAAGGGGGAAACCAGAACGGGACGAATTGTATTTGAACCTAAGTATTCCCTAAGTATTCCCTAAACTTAAACCTAAGTATTCCCTCGTTCTCAATAAACCCCATTTTTTATAGGTCCTTGTAAACTAAAAATACACTCAATTAATATATGAGCAAAGTCAAACAAAAAATTTTTGATTCTTTCAAATTTTATATAATAATTTATAAAGAAAAGAAAGAAATTTACAGTTTCTTCTCACAATGAATATTAAGCATGTTTATTGAACTCATTCATAATTTATACTATAATACATTGATTAATTTTTAAAATTTGTACCAAAAAAATATTCAAATTTAAATCACCAACATAGAGTATGGTATGACTATAATTCTGAAATCAATATAGAATTCTCATCAATTTCGATTATTGATTTTAAATTATAAAAGATATTATTATTGATTAAAAGAATAATAAAATAATAAAAAATTATGAGAAAATTTTCTTTTTATTGATTGGAAAGTGTTGTTACCATATCGTCAAGTTTGTTTTATGTGATGATTCACGCGTGGGGTAGACAACTGGGATTGGTTGATCACATGGTAATCGAGAATTAATCAATGCATGTTGTACATATAGCAACAACTTTTTTATTGGTGTGCTAATTATTATGGGTCCCAATTAGAGGAGACAAGACTACATTGATGTACGTGAAGCTATCAAACTTCTTCTCCCTCTTCCTCAGTTGTGATGATACACAAGATGTGGGTTCCAACCAATGCAATAATGCATTAATGATAAGATAAGGAGAAAGGGGGAGAGACTATGAGACTGTTGAAGACACAATAGTATTTGGGGGTATAATTTTTAAAGTTAAATTATATTTTTTTGAAGTAGAAATTATAATTAAAAATGATAAAAATTATAATTTTTAAAAATAAAATTGGTCTACAATAGAGTGACAAGTCAAGGTTCAATTTCTCTTTCCGGCTCCCATCCTCCCCCCTTTAAGAGTAAAAATATCGTTGTCAATCAATATATATATATATATATATATATATGCCCTAAAATCCACCCAATAAGGCATTAATTATCTATAAACATTGAATCATAAGAGCATGCTAAAATATCATTAAATAAATAAAATCATTCATCATCCAATATCTAATTAGATAAATCCCCAAAGAAAATATAAATAAATCCTTAACATAAATAAACCATCAAATCTAAACTTCATAGACTAAAAATCATTCTCAACTTTTACATCTAGCATCATGATCCACCTCAACATCCCAATGAAAAGAATTAAGTCATAGTTTGTAAAATAATATATATAATTTTGAAACTAAACAGTGAGAATTAATGAGATCTCAAGTTTACGTGCCAACAGGAAAGTTCATAAACGAGTAGAATCAATTCCCAAAATAATAGATAATCAACACATTTATATCTTATGTACACAGGTAGCTTGCATGAAATTACACAACAAACATATCTGGTCCACACCACAATCACAAACCAACAAATTAATTCTCATAGAGCCATAAAACATTAGGAAAGGCATATATCGACGCACCAACAATGATGAATTCTGCCGAGAATTGATATACTAACCCCCAACCTTGATAACCGTAAATGAATAATGGTTTGGTCCTCGCAAGGTATCAACCCCATTACGAGTGATAGAAAAATTTTGAACCCCTCAAAGTGAGAAACAACATCTAAACACTCTATGATATAGGTTTGAGTGCAATTCACGTTTATCGTACCCGTGCATACAAAAGATAATTTTCAAAAAAAATTATAAAATTCAACTACAATCAAAAATCATATATCTATAACTTTTTCCAGAGGAATAATTCAAGAAAACATCTTTGAATTAATAGTAATCAAGAACTAAAGTTTTGGTAATCAAGACATTAAATTTTGATATAAAATATGTGTAAATTAGGTTATAAATCAATAGCTAGGGTTTTTCAATCAAGAACATATGATTTTTGGATGTAAAACATATATTTTGATATAAATAATATGTTTATTCAAGAATTTATGAGTCAAGAACTAGATTTTTAAATTAAGAACGGATAGATCTTAAAAGTAAGTCATGTATTTTGTTCAAGAAATAAATCATGGATTCAAACGAATATAAAAACATTGTAAATCAATTATTTATATCATAATAAGGATGAAAAAGTTATATTATATAACCCTAATCATCAATGAATGAATGTGAGAAAGAACCCTTATCTTAATTCGTTAATTCTTGATTCTAACCTGTTTTGTTGTGATTACAACCCGTTAATCCTTCAAGAGCCTGTTCTTCCTCGTTTTCTTCTTCTCAAAATTTCCTAGACTTTTTGTGGTTGAAAAATAAGTAAAGACACTTTAGATTATGGCCCCATGATATTTATAAGCTGAAAAACAAAAAATTCCAGTCCGAATGCGATTGACAGTCTGCCCACGACTTCCAACTCAATTTTAACCTTGTTAGATGTTGATTCACAAAATTTTTGTGAAATACACTTTTGTAGCTCTTGAAGTCTAATTTCTACCCAAAACCTCTCCAAAATTGGTTTGAACTCCTAAATACTTCCAAACTTTGAATACACCCATAGAACCTCTCCCAAGGTTTTTCAACCTTGTAGATTCAATGAAAACTTTATTTCGATGTAAAAACTTTTATAAAATTACTTAGCCACTCATCTCGAGTTTAAACATTTCCAAAATGTAATTTAAGCCGAAAGTCAATACATTTGAAAGTCAAACTTCATGATCAATCTTTCTCCGATGATTCTAAGTTTTTACCGTTATTTTATTCATCCTAGGAGGACTCTTAAGATAATATTACCCTTATTTAATTTTAATACGGGGCCATATATTTATTACGTTGTTTTTTCATGAAAATACATTTTCAAATACACTTTTACACATAAAAATATGTTTTGAAAACATTTGCAATAGAATTCTAGTTGGAAATATATTTTTAAAATATGATTTTACAATAAAAAGCATGGATTTAAAAGATGTTTTTATGAAAAGAATGGTGATATTATGAATAATTTGGGTGGAAAAATTACAAAAAAAAAAAAAAAAAAACGGTAGAAATAGAATTGATTACGTTTATGTGCATGCTAAATGTACTACATCATTGAAGAGTGAGATCCACTGTGATATTTTTTTTTGCAAGTGCTAATCACCTACCATATATAGTTAGAGGAAGCACTTATAAACGTATAGGTTATTGATCTATTTTAGGAAAACAAATTAAAGGAAAGAATTTTGATCCATAATTTGGTGTAAAAATTTGATAAGTGTAGCATTAAAATTTTTTATTTTTGCCACACACCAAATAGTACACCAAACTTTATACCAAATAAATTAAAAATACTCCCCCAAATTAGAATAATGTTATGATGACCCCTAAAGTAAAGCAATATTATAACAACTCTGTACTAACCTAAGCAAAACATTTCTAATGGGCTTTCAAATTTCCTTATTTCTCAGCTTCGATAGTTTATTGTACTTTTTAATCCTCCAATTCGAAGGGCCTATTACACATATATACTTTAAGCAATTAATTATATTTTTACTCAATTTCACGCAATAATAAATATATCCTATAATCAAGTCGAATTTGTTAAGTTTGAGACTGTTTAATACTAATTAAGTTGTGACTGGCCAAACTCGAGCTTGAGCTCAATTGGAGAACATAAATTCTTACTTAAGTTTAGTTTGACAAAAAACCTTGGGAGCATTCAAGTTAAACCCGAGTTTAATTTCACAGCAAAACTATTTAAAAATTTAAACACTAGAACTTGATCTCAAGCTTAATTGGAGCTATTATTGAGAATAAGTTTAAAAATTTTCATCTATTGAATAGAAGGTGTTTGGCAACAGAATAAGAACTATTTGTATACAATAATCTATTTAAACCAAGCCACGCATTACTCAAATTCAATTTGTTTACAAAACAAACTCACAAATTTAGTTAGATTTAATTCATTTTGCAATGTCTGAAAGCACCAAAACCGAGTCAAACCCAAACTGTCCGAATTGTTTAATAGCTTTGTTTGCATGTTGCCAACAGTGGTAGAGCCATAATTCGCCATGCTACAATATACTTTAGGGAAGGAAGGGTCGCATCCACATGATATTGTGATAAACAACTTCATGTGCTGCACCATAAAATCAAATTCTGGCAGCATTTAACAAAGGAATTGCATATCCCCAAAAAGACTATCAATGGACCGTATTATGCTAGATTTATATTGTGTCTAAGTCAAATTTGTATTATGTCTAAGGCATGTCGTGTTGTGTCATATATTAACGTATAACCAAGTTAATCTGTCATTTTACCACCCCAATCAGCTAAGCTCAACCCAAACTTGTTATCTCCGTGTCAAACAAGCCTTGTCCCAAGAGCAGCATCCCCATAATCGAGTCACATAAATATTTAGGGGTGTCTATGGGCTGACTCAGGTTAGGCTCGTAAAATCTTTTTTGAGGTGGGTCTGGGTAAAATAAACTCAAGTCTTTATTCAGGCGAGTTATCAGGCAGGCGGGCGGGCTAAACTTCGAGTAAGGATCAGCTACATACAGCCTAGCCTGCCACTCATTGGACGACCTTACGGGCAGATCTATTGAGCGGGCCTTTGTATATATATACAATTTCAAATAAAACAATTTTAACTTAATATTTTTATAAATTATAATTTTGAATTAAAAATAAAGTCAAAATAAACAAATAAATAAACAATAAATAATTTTATTTATGAATAGAAAAAGAACTTCATCACAATAGAATAAACACATTTCAACTAGGTTCAAATATTGCCACAAAACTTTCAAAGTTTCAGTGGTTAAATTTTTTTTAAGTGAAAATTGAAGTTAAATCCTCTTTAGGAAACTTTTAATAAGTTCAATCTATACATAAACTTATTTGACATCCACAATTTTTTACAAACTAAAAAATGATCTTCGTAAAGAAAAAGACATATTTATTGTAAAGATTAACAGATTTGACTGGTATTCCCCCACGCCACTCCCATCTTTTTCTTCCTTTTTCTCTCTCTTATATATATTTATATCTATACTTTCCATTTTTTCAAACAATTGGGTTCTCATATCTATTTATATCCATTTTTTTTAAAAAAAACAATTGGATGAAAGAATAAACGGGTTGGTAGGCAAACTCTTGGGCCAAATTTTTGTGGACAGGCTCATGGGCCAAGAAATAAGTTTAAGGGCAAGCCTGAGTCTACTCAAGCTTGTGCTTGGGCTTGCACTTGGACTTGGGCTAGGGCTCAAACTTGGGTAAGCTTATCAAGCTTTGGGCTTTTTTTGGGCCGGATAACAGGACCCAGCCCATAGACACCCTAGAAATTTTGGCATTAACGTTTTCATCTCCACACAGATCACAAAAGATGCACAAACAATAGTTTCCCACTTGGAGGAATTCTTTTTGCACTCCAAAACAAGACTTGAGTTCGATATTTCATACTCAATCCTGACTCTGAACTTGAAAGCACATATATATACAAGCAGTTAATTCGGTCTTTCTCGGCTGCCCATCTACAGAAAGCATAGAAGTAATCACCGAATATGCGTATCATAAATCCTTTCCACAAAATAAATGTCACATGGAAAAGATCGTTTATGCAAATTTGGCTAATAATCCAAACATGTAGCAATCAAACAGTAGCAACCATAAGATAGACAAAGCAACAAGTCGGGAGCCTACTGCTAGGTGTACATGCCCCCCCCCCCCCCCCCAACAAACCTTCCAAGTTATAGAAATGCGTCTTTTTCCAGCAGCTTCAGCACATCGTGTTGGTTGTTTAATTTTGCAACATCGATGGGTGTCTTCCCGTCCATGTTCTGCAGAGTGCTGTAACAAGAAAATGCCAAAGAAGGGGAGAAAAAGGAATGAGTAATAAAACCTGCAAGAGGCAAATAATTGTTGACAGGACAGCCGTTGACTTACACAGCAGCGCCATTCTCCAGCAGAAGTGCTACACACTCTTTCCTTCCATAACCAGCTGCATAATGAAGGGCGGTGTTCTTGTTCTTATCCAAAGCATCCACCCGTGCCCCAGCCTCAAGAAGGACCTGGGCGCACTTGACCTGGAATGGAACAACGTGCATTTACTTAGTTCCTAATAAAGAAGCTAGAAGTCTTGGGGAGCTTCTGCTAAGAAAAAGTTCGACAAGCTGCTGCTTAGCCTATATTTTGATGGGAGGAAAAACAAACCGCATGAAGCTTGATAAACAAACAAAATTGCAATTATGTTATTTAATGGGCAATCAAATATCACTGCAAATGCCAAGAGGCCCAAGACTAAAGCTAGTTTCTTAAAGCCCCATCTAGAACACAAAACACCAGCAAAAACAGAATTGCTTCTTTGTCTTTGTTTTTAATGAACTAAATAATAGAGAATGAGAGAACAGAAAATGAGAGCCCATCAAAGTTGATGACAAACAAGTTGGGAAGGCAACACCTTGACAAACTAAACAGAAACTAAGCAACAGGGATATTATAAAGCTCGGTCCAACTAGCCAAAGGAGAAAGGGAAAAAAGAAAGAAAAAGAATAATGACCTTATGGGAAAGGAATTTTACATTAAAAAAATAAAATAAAAGAGGAGGAGGAGGAGGAGGAATAAAGAATATTATGTGGGACACATCAAGCAAAGGATTGAGGCCCATTCAGAATTCTGCACAGTGAAGTAAACACCCCTCTAATGGGACTTTGGAGATTATTGTGTTGACAGTCTATCAGCTCAAAAAAAATCTGTCAATCCAATTGACTAAGTAGAATCCTTTGCCCAAGAATATAGTACATGATGTATCCTAGGGGAAAAAAGATAACAGAGGTATAAAAGGAGTTCACTTCAGGTGACAATTGTACCTCACCATATCCACATGCAAAATGCAATCCTGTCCTTCCCTCTGAATCTTCCTCATCTTTATTAGCACCAGAGCCTAGTGCGTTCTTCAATCCCTATTCATTAGATATAGTAAAACTTTCATTCAATACAAGGATTTATTTTTTAGACAAAAAATTACCAAGCATATCAACTGAACATGGTCTCAATGTATTTTACAAACTCACTTAAGCTCAACATAAAAGGACTATACCAGGGAAGTTACAGAGTTCAGCAATTTGAATTTTGGGTGAAAATATAACTCAAGGTTGAGACCATACATTAACCGAGACAGGTGCAAATTTAAGAGAGAGGTATGCAATTACTACAGCAGTCTTGTAGAAAGCTACAACAAAAAAAATCTCCACAAGAAAACCAGAAACACGAATAACTACCGATTTTTTGCATACAAACTGCAAATTTCTGGAAAATATTACCCATGTTTCAATTAAATCCAGTTTCTAGGAAAATTCCTGCTTGTCAATGCACCATCCATTATTCCCCAAGGTATTGGTAGCCTTAACCCCAGACAAAGTAACATACGAAATTTGTCCACACATCCACAACTTCAAAGTATCCTTGAAGTCAATAGTTCCAAATATCTGCTTCTACGGTGTAATGTGTTAACAGATTTGAATAAATAATTTATGGCTAAAGAAAATATATCACGGTGAGATTCGAACACATATCTCTTATCATAAAGGCAAACGCCATTCCAATTAGATGTGATCACATCATTATATTATAATTTTCGTATACTATGATTTGTCATTAATATATTTTATTTTCTTTCATATATTCATTTGCTTAACATCATTTTTGTAATTTGTGCCGAAGTTTACAACTCGGTTCAATTCATTTCACAATTATTGAATCTGGGATTCCAATTAAAGATAGAATTCTATATTGGACATAGTTAGAACAACAAAATGATAGCTCGTTTCTTTAGATTAAAAACTAAACAGGTTTTGGAAACAGATCAGAAAATGATCATACTAAGAAAACAAGGCCCACAAACAAATAGCACCTAGGAGGAGCAAAACAGAAAGACTTAATTAATGTACCTCGACATCGCCCACACTAGCAGTATTATGAACAATGGATTCATCATCATTCCCCTCATCTGTCTCATCAGGCACAGAATTTTCAGCAGAAGCGGCAGCATCTCCTGCAGCAGCAAGACCCATTGCTTCACCCAACTTCTGCAGAACATCTTTATCATTCCAGTACCTAAACAGCACAAACAAATTCTAAAAAATGTCATATTTCAAGCAACTTTGTGTAGCCTTTCGATCATGTACCAGACAAAGACTGGTTCGATAAGAGGTGGTCCTCAGCATACATTCACTTGATTTTCATAGGGTAGGAAAAATTTATAGCGACATCTGGACATGCATAAACAGAAAAAAAAAAATTAACAAAATACAAGAAGCTCACCAATTGAGGAGGGGGGAGGAACCTTGCTGTCCAAAATCATATACAAGTCTTGGTTATCCCACTTTTATGTTTGCCCGAGTTTTATTTTACCTAGTAAACCTAGTAACCTTTGGGAATTGTTAGAGCATCTAACTCAAAAACCAATTGGCAATGAGTGGAGAGGGTCATTCACTTTAAACCAACCTTGAGTGATCCTAATCATTCAATGTAAGATACAAACTTTCTTTATACTCTCCCTCACGTGAGACCCGAACTCGCACGTGAACAACAAATATGCATTCTGATAGTATGGTAGAGCATTTAACTCAAAACTAATTGGCAATGAGTGGACAAGTTATTTCACTATAGAAACTAACCTTGAGTAGCCTTAATCATTTGAAGTGACATACAAACTTTATTTTTAAAGGAACAATTTGTTCATAGAGGAAGTGAAACAATGCCAAAAATGGCCTGACATAGTATATATTAATAGTATAGCAATAAAACAGAACAAACCCAATTAATATTACATTGTTCTTAAAATGTGCCAAAATAAACTAAAGACATATGCTAGAATTCATATGTAAGTTACAAGTTAATGGGACTTTGTTAAAGTGTAATGCAATTTGAAATGTGAGTTCTAGAACAGAATGCCCAAAGATATTTATGATTTGCAATAACTCAGAGTGAACACAAATTTAACACCCTATATCATACAATATTAATACTTTTACAAGGCTACATATATATATATATATGAAATAACAATAACCCCGTGCTTGTAGATACTTTGCAATACCAAAAATCGAACATTGATCGTACAATATTTATATTATAAATAGCAATCTAGTTTTCCTTTCCTTTTCTTCAATTACGCAATCTAAAATTAAAGTAAACCGAGAAAAAATAAGAGAGAAGTTGGTGTGGATTAATAGAGGTTGGTTGAGTTGTCTAACACCGGAGACCATGTAGAGAATAATATAATTTTACAGGGCTACATATATATATATACACACACTAACAATAGCCTCGTGCCTAATGTTGCGAAGTGTTCAAATCTGCATAAATGGGGTCATAATTACTGCGAAGTGTCAATCAGTAAAGTGAAATCAGGATCATAATTTAAAAAATCAAAATATGGTTTCCAAACCCTACATAAATGGGGTCTAAAGTCATATAAATATGCATTTGAGAGATCTACACACTTTTTATGGCGCTTGTTTGGACTAATATACCATGCATAGGCACAATAAATGTAGTTTTCCTCAAGTGATTATGTGATAAAATTGAGCTAAAATTGTTGATCGTTTGATGAATTGTGTGAGATTTTCTACATTAAATTTGATGAGTTTGAATTAATTTGCTCAATTTTATGAAAACAAAAAACACTACAATGTATCATGCAAAAGTTCATTTTAATTGGAGTTATACAATTAAAAATTTCAGATAAATAAAAGCTCATTAAATTGACCCTCCATTAAATAAAAACTTATGTCAAGGCACTATATATATAGAGAGAGACAGAGAGAGAGGGGGAGAGGCAATCAAGAACAAGTTACAACCTCATCATTGCAGCTGGACCTCCGGTCTCTATCTCAGCCAAGATAGGTTTCAAAGCTGGATCTTCTTTAATGCGTGCCATACGTTCTTCAATCTGGTCTTTACTTGCCGTATGAGCGAAATTTTCAAGCATTTGGGCCATGGATGGCTCCTGAAAATATGATCGAACAAAAAAACCATCTACCAAGTGCCAAATTTTTATGTAAAACAAGAATAGGCCAGAAGCTTAAACAAGGTTATATTTTGGGATTACCGTCATTAACGCATTACCGAGACGCTCAGCCATGGTCATGAATTGAGGATTTTGCATAACCTGTTGCATGGTGGAATAATACTGTTGCGTATCAAACTGAGGGATAGCCTCTTCAGCTGAAGCACCATGAAAAGTCTTCTGGAGCTGCTCTGCCATCTGGTTAAATGAAGGATCTTTTGCTATCTGTTCTGCTAACTCCTTAATGCTTGGATCCTATTTGTACCATCATAAAAGCAACAATGAACGAGAGCAATCGATTGCATTCAAGTATACAGGATAAGCTAAGGCAACATGTAGTATGTACGAACAGAAATAATGTTCAGATAGGGCTGGTGATGCTTAAAAATTAATATTCCCTTCGATATATTCACGCTGTTAGCCAACTTCAGTTAAATTTTGACTCTTACAGTCATAGAATGCAATATCTAGGACCACAATTGAACTTGAAGAAAACATTGAAACAAAATAATTTTGAGATTTATGCAGCTAGAACACAACCATGAGTTTTTCCATATAGTTACTGGAGGTTGAAAGAGATAGGGGGGAGAAATATTTAGCCAGGACTATTTAGTTAAATACTGTGACAAGTAAATGCCAAAATTGTGTCCTTATATATTGAAGGAAAAGACCAAGGAGACTAGATTTTTCTAATCTTTTTTTTTTTTTTTTAATGAAGGTTTGCAGAATCTTTTTAGTAACAACATAATTGTTGAGAATTTTGTTTGGTGGGGTATGGACCAAGTTCAAGGTCTTCAACCAACTCCACTTTTTACCTACATCTCCATATCCAATACACCCACATGATGCTAAAATAGTTAACTTAAATGTTTGAAAAAAATGCTGCAGAAAATTTTTTTCTTCCCTCAATTAAAATCAGAAATTAGAGATTTCTCTCTTATTTATCTCTTCAATTTTGCACATAATTAGAATCTTTTGCGAAATTTAGCAGGAAAAAAAAATGAAGCCAGTTTATCAGAAAAAAGGTATAGTGGTCGATCAGAGAGATTCTCAACAATGTGCCAAAAATGTTTGATTAAGGATCCTAGCCAATGCAGCCTCAAATGACCATATATGCATCTACATCACAAACAGAGGCATAAAAAGTTCAACTACATTAAGTAGACCAGCCATGGCTGAGAAATCAAAGGGATTTGCAATCCCAGCTCCGGGTGTTGAGGTTGCTCTTCTTTGTCCTGATTGTGTCTCCGCAGAGGTTGCTTCAGACACTGATTCAGAGGCATTATTTTTCTCTGTTATACCAGCCTTTTCCTCTGTAAGAAGGACAAATATATGTGAGATTTAAGAATTTGTCAAACATACGAATAATTCATCCACAATCTCAAAAAATTTATAAAAATCAAGCTCAAAAAAGGCATCAGCAAATAACTCCCAATCAAGGCCCACCCCAAAGAACTGAAATACAGGCTTTAATAAAATGTCTACATTCGCCAATATCATGTGCAAAGAACTAGCAGTAGCACAGAAAGACTAACAATCTACATAACACCATAAACGAGCCAAGCAACTATTTCAAGGCGAAGAACATTCAAGACAAAAGATTTCTAGTGCTCTATTCAATTGGTCATACCACTTAAACAGCTATTACAAATACATTAAGGCAATGAAGGAAATTCTAAAAGCAAGAATTGGAGTTCTTAATATGCATGTGATCAGCCAACCCCCAACACAAATGGCAACAGTTGCAGGAGAGAGACATAGTGCCCACCTTCACCCAATAATGATCATAACATTTATTCGACCATTGTATCTTTGCTTGCTAGCATCTACAGTCTAGTTTGAAAAAATAAAGTTATCCTATATTCTTAATCTGTAATCTAATCTTCACTTGGGAGCTTCATCCAATTCATTTTCATTCACCATTGATTGGTCATCATACATTTTCATTGTACTTCTATTGTAGATTTGATAAGTTGAGGATATTGTGTAAGCTGCATACTACTTCGTCAAGGTCTACAAGTTAGGAATAGATTCCCTAGCATCTCAGATCATCTTAGAGGTAACTCTCTTCAAGGGATTAGATATCTTTGGCAGTTTAATGGAGAGATCACTCCTAAATCAGTGCCTCCATTGGCTGATGCTTTTGCCAAAAGTTTGGCATGATCTACCCTTCTTGATGTCTGCTGTTTGCCCTTCACTACAAGAATTAAGGTTGGAGTGTACCATGAAATTGCTAAGGGTGGTATATTATTGCACAATTTGTTTTGCATTTTGGCTCAGCATACTTTTTTGGGGATGTCTACATGTTATCCACTCTATGTCATTTCTCAAGTTGGAAGCCAACAGACAAATTTTGTGTACCCTTCCATTGCATTATTAGTGTGGTTAGGCATCAAAACTGAATCTAGCAAGATAAAAATGACTATGCCCACAATAAAAATGAGAAGAGCAGTAATATGCACATGTACACAAACATGGAGAGAGAGAGAGAGAGAGAGAGAGAGATTCAAGTTACTGGAATATTACCTATTGGTGTCATTCTTACGGATCTATTCATAAGTAGGGAAATGAAAGATCCAAAGTTTTGATCTTGCAAAAAGGTGGAAAAGCATTGATGTAGTAGAAGGAATTTGTCAGAAGGGAATGGACTTTAGACTCATCAAGAAGGATAAAGGCTTAATCAAACTTCTCTCAGTGAGCCTAGAAGAGTTAAGACTTAAGATGGATGTGTTATTTTGTATGACTATGTCTCTACAAGTGTCTTTTTAGAGGGGTTTATAATACGGATCCATAGAGATTATAGACCTTACCAGTGTATGTTTAGAGCAATAACAGTTGTCCGTTCATATTAGGGAACAGATGGGAAGCACAAGGACTGTAACCATCACAAAGAACACCAAGGAAGTGAATGGGTTAAGTTATAGCCATGTTGCGAAGATTAGTGTTGCCTTGCATTATCCCAACCTTGAAGGGAAGAAATCTTTAAAAGAGCCACTGAGCTGGATAGATGATGGTGGTGCAAGCAATTACGAGTAAGACCATAATGTGTTGTGACAGAGCCCAGTTACTATGAAAATCAGAGGAAGGATTGAGGGCTAATAGTTGGTCAAAACAGAGACATATAAGCTAGAGAGGTAGGATAACCAGGCTGAGAATTCCAACTAGGGTTATAGTATTGATATAAACAGGGGCCTTGTATCATTTTCTGTACAATCCACAAAAGAAGTTGGGAAAGTGTCTGACTAAGGACAACAGCGCTATCAACACAAGTTCACATTTCTTCATTGGTACCATCATCTGTGTGTTTCAAACATGAAATATTTCCCCCATGATACATGCAACAAAATGATTTCTCAGAAATTGACATTTGAAATATGGAGTATTTGAGGTGATCAGTGATTGCTATCGAAGTGACATCACTAGTAAAGAAGATATGACCGAACAGAGGCATTTTCCATGAACAAGTATATTGGCTGAGTTGATGTCGACTCCTTTTCCATCAACAATCTCCACACAGTGGATTTGCTGCATTTAGTGCCCCACATTGGTTGACGGGTTCCACGTGATAATGGAGGGCAAAGACAGTCAATTTCTTGAGGCTATTCTTTAGCAATTTCCACCATGGAAGCATATGCATGTGTTATTTCCAAAAGAGATTCACCGAATATAAGATGAGTATCTGCTTGATTTGCCTCCATTATTCAGGATTTGAAAGATTATGATACCATTGGACACTTGTATCATCAGGGTTGTCTATGTGAATTGTATGGTTCACAAGATATGATTGCATATGTGAGTATGATAGGCATAGTTAGGACCGCCACGTAGAATACAGAAGATTACCTGCATCTTAATACTGAAAATCACTTTTAAATAACAGTTACCCACACAGAGTTTTACTTTTCCATTTGCTCATTAAATGAGGGGGGAAAAAAGGAAAAACATTTTCTTTTCTACTCAATACAAAGGCCTTTGGTAGCGGGAAAATTAAAAATCAAACCTTGAATTACTTTTCAGACAGATACAAACTGTAATAAGGACACATAAACAGATGACAAGGCCAGACCAATATTAGCACAGAAACATGGTCCATCAGAATCAGTTAGCTTGTAAATACATCAACCCAAATTCTCATTCAATGCTCATAATCATATAAACCCAATCAGTCCACAAATCCTTCCCCACTCTCTAGTATGCATATTTCTTGTTCTTGTTAAAAAAGAAACAATAAAACCAATTCAAGCAATACCCTTCTTTGTCATGTGGCTATAACTCCAATTGCACTAATAACCATATCTATACGGCCACAAAATACTTCACATATGCATCAAATCGAAAACACACACACATATAAGCAGTACTCACAAACAATCAGTGAGTAAGCAGAATAGAGAAATTCATACCTTTGGATGCCAAAGCATCTTTATTGTCCACCTACACACCACAAACACAAAAATTACGTGGTTAATTAATCAGATGCACAAAATCAGCTTATTCTATCACATCAAAACTTTAATTTTTTATTTTATTTACATATACATCCGTGTTCAGAGCATCAACTCAACCACCATAAACCCATAACCTAGTAGGATAATAGAGAGAGAGAGAGAGAGAGAGATGGATCGGAACTACAATCAGTTACGAGGCATGACTCAAACATGAAAATGATATGATTCAAAAAAAAGTAACTAAAAATTAATATATTGAAGTATGCAAGTGAAGAATTACCTGAGACATGGCCACAGAGATTCAGAGAGAGAGAGAGAGAGGAGAGCTAAGAGATGATAGAATTCTTTGCTTGAGTTGAAAGGAGCGAGACTTGGGTGTACACGAAAGGAGGGGTTTTGTGGTAAAACTCAATAGACTTCTGTCGGTGGGCCACCTCAATCCTCATCTCATATCAAATTGAATGGCAGAGATTTGTCGATGAGATCCGCCGTCGGAATGGGCAATTGGTGGGCCTGCAATGGGTTTTGTGTTGGGCTCGCTTCACATTGTGAAAGCCCAGGACAAAACCTGTATTGGGCCACCCAATCCGCATTTCGGCCTGCAATAACAGTGGATCTAATTTTAAGGGATATATCAAATTGGAGTTAATTGTAAAAAAGTACACAAAAAAAAAAATATATATATAGGGTAAAAAAGTACTTAATTTTGATATTTATTTGTTTTCAAGTACATTATTTAAAATTTTCATATTTTCTTTTTAACTTTATATCCACCCTTGATGTATGAGTATTTTTTTTTAGAAAATGATATTTAAACATCTCCTAATTTTATGGGAGAACTTTTAATATTTCATATTTTTATATCCTCCCTTAATTCATGCTTTTTTTTTTTAGAAAGTGATTTTTTTTTCAAATTATATTAATATTCGAACTACATAACAGTGTAACCAGACATTTACACAAAATATTATATTATTACATTTTGTCAAAACATATATTTTCATATAATTTCATTCAAAAAAATTCATCTCTATTTTGAATTTGTTATCACATGCACAAAATCACTTAACACTATTTTTGTTAAAGTGTATTGTTAAACCATTTTTGTTACACTATTATGGAGTTCGGATATTAACAAATTTTGAAATTCAAACCAAGTGATATATCCAAAAATGAACGGAATATTAAAGTTCTCTCATAAAACTATGAGATATTTAATACATAAAAATAATTTGAAAACAAAATCATTTTCCAAAAAAAAATACGCATGAATCAAGATGCATTAGAGATTTCGAATTAAATGACCCTAAATTTCAGCGCTTAACATAAATGTCTTGTCACAGTTTTTAGAAAAGAAAATTTTACAAAATAAGAATTTATTTCTTTATATCTCAGCTGTGTACTTTTTTTCAAAATATTTTATTATGTGTATTGTTTTACAATTATTTCTAATTTGGTGTACCGGCTTCCAAATGACCCTATTCAAAACTTCCACTTAACATATCAAATGAATTAATATAGGAGAAATGTTATTTGGACTGAAAATATAGACATGATTTATTGACTTGATCAATCATAACTATTGAATAGGTAATGAGTCTCAGTAAAAAAAGAAATTTGAGTGTTAGTCTACTATTCAAGACTTATTTGGGAATAAGTTTACTCAAAAAATTTGTTTGAGAATAAGTCTATTTCAATCTTCATTGTTCAAAATACTCTTGGTAGTTATATGTAATTAAAAAAAATTTAAAAGCTAAAAACTTTAAATTTTAGAAATTTTACTAACATTAAATTCTTTCTCTCTCATATCTATCTATAATCTATAATAATAAGATAGATGTGTTTTTGAATCTCCAAAGTTGAGAAAGTATAAGGACAGTTCAGATTTAATGCAATTTTAACTCAATGCTCTAGATTTCATCCCAATTTTTTCAATTTAATCCCAAAGTCCACAATGCATCCCATACAAAAACAAAATCCCACTCATTTCTGTCTTTGTCAAGTACTCCTCTCCAAATTTCACTCCCTCTCATCTGACTGTTAACCCTTTTCTCTCACCCATTTCTCAAGCAACCCAACATGATGGAAGGTACCAGTAACCACTGCACCACAACTCCACTCCTTTCCTTCTCTCTGTTGGGCTTAGTTCATTGTATTTCAAAACATTAGGTGATTAAGCCTATACTTTTTTATTATTGGGAAAATTAGAAAGGGGTGCACCAAATTGGAGTTAATTATAAAAAAATACACATAAAAAAAATGTAGGGTAAAAGATACTTATTTATGTCCAAGTATATTATTTGAAATTCCCATATTTTCTTCTGACCTTTATATCCACCCTTGATCCATGCGTATTTTTGTGGAAAGTGGTGCATTAAACATCTCCTAATTTTATGAGAGAACTATAATATTTCATACTTTTATGTCCTCCCTTGATTCATGTGTATTTTTTTTTTTTTGAAAAGTGGTTTTGTTTTCAAATTATATTAATATCCGAACTCCAGAACAGTATAATAGTAACAGTGTAACAATAATAATGTAACAAGACATTTACACAAAATATTGTACTATTACATTGTGTCAAACATATATTTTCATATGATTTCATTCAAAACAGTCTATTTCTATTTTGAATTTGTTACCACATGGCACAAAATCACTGAACACTATTTTTATTACAGTGTATTGTTACACTGTCTTTGTTATAGTGTATTGTTAC